CAAGTTCGGTAATGTAATGCTGACCTCTGGGCCTGGATCGGCAAGGCTGCGCGCGAGTGGGGCCCCGACCCCATCCGAGTTTGTTGGGCCCCTTTCCCACCTCGAGGCCCGGGACATCAGGTCCGACAGAGGCATCAGGTCCGATGAGTGCGCAGATGAGCTGGCCGCCAGAGCGGCGGCCGCAACATGGACTTAGTTCGCCCGAGATGCCTTCGCCACCGACCGGCGCGACACTGAGGCCTTCCGAGCGAGAAGGCGGGCGCGTCGAGCGCTGTCGGACTCTACTATCGCCGACCCGTGGACCGCGGCCCGCCCCTCGGCCCCTCGCCCCGTGCGGATGCCCAGGCCAGAGATTGCCCCGCGTGCGTCTCAGCGCGCTTGGCGACGGGTTGGCTCCAAGTTTTATTGCAGAGCTCGCAACGTGTTTGTGAATCGTGAGCGCCTCCTCCTGGCTGCCCAGGCGGTGTGCCTCGGGCCTGCCCCCAGCTCGGCGTTGCTCCCCTCGTCGGCCGAAGTGTGCTGGGGGACAGGGTCTTGCACGGCTCACTAAGCTTACAGCGCAGGGGGCTATGGAATCGAACTTTCTGTTCCAGGTGCGGTCGTACAGCCACGACCGACACGAGGCACCTGAATTCAGCGTGTGACCTCCCCACAGCCAAGTGGAATCAGCATTTGGCGCGCATCCAGAAGGGCGAATACCCCTACTCGAATGGGCCGCCGAAGTCAGTCCAAGTTGCTGCCCTCGTCAAGCTGCAGCGCTACTTCGTTTCGTGCTCGACATTCGGCGTCGTTTAGCGCTTCGTAACTCCTCCCGCTGCTCCCCCACATCTCTCTCCTCCTTCCTTTCCCCACCCTCCTCCAAAACCGTCACCTCCTCCTCCTCCTCCTCCTCCTCCTCCTCCTCCTCCTCCTCCTCCTCCTCCCTCCTCCCCCCTCCTCCTCATTCTCTCCTCTTCCTCCTCCTCCTCCTCCTCCTCCTCCACCTCCTCCTCCTCCTCCTCACCGTCTCCTCCTCCCCCACCTCATCCTCCTCCCCCTCATCCACCTCCACCTCCACCTCCACCTCCTCCTCTTCCTCCTTCTCCTCCTCCTCGTCTCGTCGGTTTCGCTGTGACGATGGAGTACCCTATCCAGTTACTCTACATCAGTATGTTGGTCCATAGCGCACCGAGGTCGATCGATGTCGGAGGCTTCGTCTCTGACATCGTCGCGCCCCAGTGCAGTGTCCTTGCTGGTTGTATGCAGTAGATACGCTGGGTCAAGATGTATGCATACGAGCTGCTGGACACGGCCCAAGCACAGTTCAGACCGGTTGGAGTCAAAGGCTATGCTGATGATATTACACAATCGTAACGAAGGGACCCTGAGAAAATCCGGAAGAATTGCGTCCCTGTCGCTATGTGTGTTGCTCATGAACCTGATAAGCTCGACTGTGGCATCTCTGAATGAAAAGCCTTGGTCTGTAGCAGTATGGAGCTTGGTCGTGAAGCAAATTGCATGCTCGATGCCAAACTGCTGGTCTACACATCAAATTCTCGGACCGAACTCGGGATCTGGCGGTCATGACCACGGCGGGAAAAAGAGGCTCACGGCTAACCTCATGCAAAGACGTGCTCAGATATCCAAGGAGGCCAACACAAATTGCTTTGTTGACTCGCATTGTTGGGGGCCACCAGGTCCTCGAGCTCACCCCAGGGCAAATTACGCTCTATGCGCGCGCAGGGTGAGACTTGCTCTGGGAGATAGGTCCCAGGAGCGTGCACCACCTTTGTCCTGGCCCTGGTGAGCCCCGCCAAGGACAACCCCCAGTTTGGGCTTCGATGCGCTCAGCTCGCGAAGCTTGCTGATGTTTGGAACGATTTGCCCCACCAAAACAGGACATTGCTTACCAACAATGTAACTGGAGGTGTGTGGGCCGAGACTGGATGAGCTCAGGCGGGCTACGAGTCCTGCGCCCGAGACCTCTTCCCTAGATGTGGTGCTGCGGCACGGACAGCGGTTCATCGTTCCTGGGGTTGCGTGTGTGATCAGGACACTCCTGACACTGGGCACTGAGCACTGAACACTGAACACTGCGCCCCCACGCCACGAGGGACGGCCCTACGAGGGGCGGGGCGGTTGCGCCTCGGCGCTGACAAATATGCAAAACAAGCCACAAGCAAGGGAAACGGGAGGAGGAGGAAGGGAGCGACGAACCGGCCAGCAGGCTCACTCACCTTGAATATGCTGTTGTCCCTGCACGTCAACGTCCTGCCAGCTCAACTAACAAATCCCTCAGCCAATATGATAAAGCCTCCTTTTTCATAAGAGGTCTCCCCCCGCTGTATGACTCTGTTGGTCACCTCCCCCCGACCCTGGCCCTCTCGTGAGAGTGGGGATGACCCTTCGACGGAGCCATTGTGTCAGGGGAAGTTTCGGGGATCGACGGGTCGGGGGGTAAATACCAAAAGTTTGGCGTCTGCGGCGATGCGGCTGGGCGGTGATCCACTCAGGTGGGCACGGACTGCTTGATGGCGTGGCCAGCGGCACAAATCCGACTGAGGTGCAGAGTGCTGACCGTGCGGAGTCATTTGCGTCGATCGAGCTTGCGAGGCGTTCCACTGGACACTCCCATGCTTATTGTGACAAAATGTCGGTCGTGCGTGGTTCCCGGAAACTCCTTCTTGGATAAAGGGAAATCTGACATGAGTGTACTATGAATCTATGGCGGTCAGAAGTTGCTCGATTGGCGTTCGGTGGACTACAGGAGACACCCCACCCAGACCCAATGTCAGACTACATCCCCAGGACGAAAGTTGTTCCACTTGGGCCCGGACCGACGGTTCGAAGCTTTGCGCAGGCGCGTCTGAGATAACCGCCGTCGGATCCAATTCAGGTCGCGCAAATCAATGTTTGGTTTTGGCTTGTGTTTCGGTGGATCCGATTTCTGTCCGCGCGGGTCCGGTTGCGTATGTTGATGATATGCGTCCGGTCTCCCTTTTACGGCGGAACCGATTTCTACCCCGTTGGGAATTGGTGACTATTAAGTCAGAGCAGGTGGAAGAAATCGGGTCCGCGGACCCCGCGACCCGCCCATGTGAAGATTCTACAAGGGAAAACGGGGTTCGGTTATCAACGTTCCAGGAATGGTCCTGCACTGTCTCGCGCACTCCCGTCAACTCTCCGCGCGCGCGGGGGCCCCATTCAACAAGAACACATATATCTCCTCCCAGTTGCCAGAATCTGGTCGCCGTCCGTTCGGCGGAGCCGACATTGTCCCGCGAGCTCCGCATCACCATTTTCACCTCAAGCAGAACATCGCTCGTCCTGCGTAAGTATGATTATGAGTGCTGTAAGATGTTATTTGAACCCGTCTGCTGTTTTTTTTCGCAGGGAAAGCCTTTGGACATGTTGACATCCCTGAGGACCTTGTTCGGATGACCCTGCTGGCCGATGAAAGAGCCAGCCTTGTTTTGAACCGTCTGTTGTCAGTCCAGCGTGAATGCTGTTTCAATCCCATCGGGGAAGACCCGAGAAGGTCACCATTAGAGGATTCGCAAGGCTTCTGCTCTTGAGGATAGGTGTTGTCGGCTGGCCATGTTTGGACATCGCGTGATCAACTGCGCCTCCATCCTCAAGTGCTCTTTCCGTTTCGGTGCTTTTTTTGAGAAACGAATCAGCGTTCAGAATTCTGGCCGTCCCCCTGCCAGCCCAGAGCTCACTCAAATTGAGCAACGGGTACAGTGACTTCCCGACCGTCCTCCTCCTGATGTTCCAGGCGTGGGCCGCCCGCCTGACGACCGGGGCCCGCCGCCTGGCGAAGGGGGGATGGAGGAGAGCGCGCTCGATCACCCACGTGCTTAGTTGTGTCACCCATCCCACCACCTTGATACTTTCCGAGGGGTGCTGTTTTGCCAAGTTTGTGGGAGGCAGTGCACCGAGGCACCACGTGACCTCAGGAACGAATGCACTCCTCCCACGAAGACAGGTTATGAGGTCCTGTCTCGTTTGTCCCGAGGCCTCCCACTCAAATCTGGTGGCAAAATTCCTGAGGTCATTGTTGTCGCAGCGTGCCCCGCCCAGCAGCAGGTACACAGGCCCGATGATAGAATACAATAGAATTCCTACTCCTCCCCCTCCTCCTTCCCCTCCTTCTCCTCCTCCTCGTCATCCTCGTCATCCTCCTTTTCCTCCTCCACTTCTGTTCCTTATTATAAATACCCTGTCGCACCCCAGACGTGTCGGTAGGGCGGGCCGGGCGTTTCGCCCGAGACGCCCTCAATGATTCAGAAGCTTGAAATTCGCAACAGCTTCAAGGTCGGAGGGATAGCATTTTTGAAAAAACTCTCGCCACAGCCCCGCGCACATTCGTATCAAAAGTTCGCACGTTTCAAATATGAATGGAGAAACCATTTCACAGTGTGGCTCTCGCCTTAGCGCCGTGCACAATCGTTTGGAACCTGTACGCACCAGTTTGAAGGATTCGCATGGTCGAACTCGCAAGAACGGCGTTTATAGGAGATTGCAAATTGTCAGGGCGCAACAGTCACGCTGATTCGCAGTGCTAGAGTTCCAGACATGGTGTTCAGGAGCGGTTTTGGACTGTCAAGACGCAGCAGCCACGTTGATTCCCGACGCTGACGTCCCAGGAATTGCGTTCTGGCATCATTGACGATTGCCAGGAAACAATAGACACGCTGATTCGCTGAAATCCCAGGAATGCTGTTTTTGCACGGTTGACGATTCTCAGACGCTTGTCTTCCAACGGGGTACTACCCACAGTGAATATATGTATATACACACACACACACTCTTGTAGGGCTCTATGACGAGGGAACTTGGAGGGAGGGAGTATTGCAACATCGTTGATACGCATTGGGTTTACACTAGTCCTCCTTCTCCTCCTCCTCATCCTCCTCCTACACCACGGTCTCCTCCTAGGTCCCAGGGCCGGACAAGGCCCTGTACAGGCTGAGAACGACCCCGAAAAAAGCCCTCGGAAGCAATCCGACAATACTTTTTCACGCGACGAGGAAGCCTGGGAATGATAACGCGCGGCGGTCGGGCCGATCGCCAGGGTATGGCCAAGAGGCTCCCTGGGCGCCCGGCTGCAGCCTCGAGAGGGCGGCGCTGTGCACGCTCTCCGCGTGCAGCTGCTTCTCGAGCTCGGCCAACTTCTCCTGGACACCACGCCGCCGCCCTCCCCCGGACGAGATCCAGACTTTTCGTAAACTCTGGGAAGGCTTCCTGCCTCGGGATGTGTTCCAGCAGTTGCACCTCGCTGGGAGCACTCCTGGAGGACAGAGACCCGAATTGCGACCAGCAAGCCAAGCCTGCTCGCGTCTTGAGAGAACGGCCGACTGTTTGTCGAAATTTCTACCTCTGGGGGCCCTTGACGGCCCCTAGGACCGCAACAAAAACACTGGGGACGAAAAGCCGGCCCTGCGGCAGTGGTTGATACGTCCGCGGGCTCACGGTGTGAGCAAAAGACGATTCTCCAACCGTCCTTCCACCTTGGGGAAACCAAAAGATGCCGATACCGCTGCTCCCCAGACCTCTCCCGGGGCGCGTTCTGACCAGGATTTCGAGGCGAATCCAGCGGTGGCGACGAGGGCCCCCCCATGAGGCCCAAAAAGAGCGAAAACGAGGGAAGAGCAGCTGTGTGGGCACCTTCTCCTCCTTTGACGCCTGCTCCCCCTCCTCCCCCTCCTCCGCTTGCTGCTCCTTCTTCCTCCTCTCCGCGGTCCTTGCTGCTAGTCCTCGGGTCCCCCCCCCGCGGTGCAGAGGAAGACCGCCTCCTCCCCCCACTACAGTCAACCCGTATAGTAAGGATGCGCGGTAAGGATGCAAGGGCCTTTGAGGGCCACGTTCATGTTTTTTAGTGAGGCTGGCCAGCGAGAGCGGCCAAGGATGGACCGAGGATGCAAGGATGCAAGGGTACCCTCGGGAAGGGTGTCAATCCTTACTGTGCTGGTTGACTGTAGCTGCAGTTCCTCCGTCTGCTCATCCCCTCGCGCGACGGAGCGCCCTGAGGCTCATTCAGTTGCGAGTGGGCAAAACACTTGCGCGGGTCTCGAGAACAAATGCATCACAACTCTCGGCGCGCTTGGATCCTCCCGGGTTGTGTCGCGTGGTCCTCCCCCGCGGGTTGTGTCGCGTGGCCTCGCCGAACCGAGAATCTCCAGCTGCTTCCTGGTTTGGGGCCTCAGGGGGTAGCTGAGGCCAGGTGCCCGGGGCCCTCCCCGCCAGAGACGGCTCCAAGAACCCCAACAGACCCCGCAGAGCCTCCACAGGGAAAGACAATAGAGTAGGTTCGTTCGGCGTCGGCACGCGTAAACGTTTTTTACACCGCGTCGATCGTTCAGCCTTGAATCGGTCGCGGCCCCGATCGTTCAAGGTTGAACTCAGTCGTGTCCGGTGGCGTCACCGTGTCCCTCGATGCTTCCGCGTTGCAGAATTCAACCTTGAACGCCTTCGCCCGCGACGCCCGCGCGCCATCTCCGCATGATTATACGGTAGGGGGCACGCGGGTATGCCCAGCACGAAGAGCGATGAACCGAAGGGTACCCCTGCAAAGAGATGGTTGCTCTTAAACCGCGTGCCGACTGCACAATGCCTACCACTACGACTGCGACTGCAACGATGACCGAAGAGAGCAGCAGCAGGCGCAGGAACAAGGAAGGGCGCCGACACCACCAACACCACCACCATCGTGGGGAGCTGGGGAGAGTCCTCCTGGTGGTGTGGCCCCCCCGATCGCTCGAGACAATCCATATCCCCAGCTCAGGGGAGCATCTGGAGACCTCCTAAATGAGGTCCGAATAGATGGGGTTGGAGGATCGCGCCACATCGCCGATGCATCCGCGACGTCGGCGATGCATCGGCGACGTCGGAGTGGAGCGAATCGGGCTTCACATCGAGCCACATCGCCGATGCGTCGACGATGCGGCGCGATCCTCCGAGCCCATCTACTCGGACCCCATCTGGGAGGGGAGGATCGAAGGGAGGCATCGTGGACCTCCTCGCTGGAGGTGCCCCCTCGCTGGAGGTGTCCCACCCAGCGGCGGTGGTGCTGTCGCGTCTGCTTCATCCCGAAGGCGGGGAGTGGAGGCGCGATGCTCAGATGCTCGTTCTGGAAGCCTTCCTGGTGCCACTCGCTCGGACTCGTGCGCCGATGCTGCGCCAAGCGCCCGTCGACTTGAGTCGAGCCCGAGTCAAGCCAGAGTCGAACCCACGTCGAGCTCGAGTCGAGCTCGACTCGAGCTAGATTCGAACGGATCCGTGGAATGGGCCCCGGGAGGGCCGCCAAACGAGGACCTCAGCCTCTCGTTCCTCCGACGGGCGGGCAATGGAGGCGCGACGCTGCCTCGCCTTCGAGGCCAGCCTCCGCTTCTCGGCGCGCAGCGCGGCGGACCTGTGCAGCCTCTCCACGGCCTTGCTCTGCAGCTCGGACGACATCGGCGCAGCTGGGAAGCGGCCGCCGTCGCCGCCATAGATCTGTTTCTGTCGTGCGTCCGCTGG